GGTGCTCAGAAGAACGATAAGTCCCCTGGAGTGAGGAAGGAATATAGAAGTGTTAAATTTATTTATTTATTTATTTATTTAGAGACAGAGTTTCACTTATTAACCCTTGGTAGAGTGCCGTGGCATCACAGCTCACAGCAACTTCCAAGTCCTGGGCTTAGGTGATTCTCTTGCCCCAGCCTCCCGAGTAGCTGGGACTACAGGTGCCTGCCACAACACCTGGCTACTTTTTGTTGCAGTTTGGCTGGGGCCGGGTTTGAACCCACCACCCTCGGTATATGGGGCCGGCACCCTACTCACGGAGCCACAGGCACCGCCCAGAAGTGTTAAATTTAAAGGGGGCTAATAAATAACCTTTTGTTTCCCTGTGAGTCTGAGTGACTTTATAAATGAAACAAAAACTACATGAAAACCAAAGTATCATCTTTATCGCAGGTGAAGCTGATATTGAAGAATGTGGATTGCGTCTGATCAGAACAATATTGATGCATGCACCGATCGTCACGATCAGAGGATGAAATTACCTTGTTTCATGAGGCAGAGTCATATTTTCTGACCCAAATGAATATGAAATAAGTGTATTCCTTTGGAATTTCAGGTACCGTAACTAAAAAAATAAGGAGGAGGAGGAAAGAAAGAAAGAGGAAAAAAGAAATTCTGAGTCCTAAGCAGCAAAATCAATCATGTCCACTACCCTCCCTGTGTTTGCGTCTTTAATAATTCATATGTCAGGGCAGCACCTGAGGCTCAAAGCAGTAAGGGACTGGCCCCATATACCGAGGTGGCAAGTTGAAACCCAGCCCCGGCCCCTCCAAAAATCATATCTCACATGATTCCTGCATGGGCTAGCTTGATTGCTTTGCTCTGATGAGAAAAGGTTTAAGAAAACCTTTGATTTTCTTGTTACTTTGAATGAGTCACTTTTCCTTTTTCAATCTCGAGTATTTTCTCTTAATAACAAAACACTTAACAATTCTCTTGGCCATTACCTGCCTTAGGAATGCTAGGCTCACATATGACTCCCTGAAGACAAATGCTGCATGAACATACAGGATAAGCCAAGCCACTCAAAACTAGTCTGTGCATGAATGTATTGGAAGACAGACAGGGCTCAGGAAGGACAACAGGACCCATCCACCTGATTCCTTTGTTTCCAGACATCAACACCTCCTGGTCACACCTTGCCAGGAGGGACATTTCAGTCAGCTTAGACTCCCAGGAGTGAGGAGTTAAAACATTTGGAGAGCAGAATTCCCAGCCAATTGTCATGTTGGAGAGTTTTCCAGAAAGTTAATTCAAAAGAAGTTATGTTTGCAGGCCCAGGGTCTGGTAGCTCAAGCCTATAATCTTAGCCCTCTAGGAGTCTGAGGCAAGTAGATTGCTTCAGCTCAGAGATTAGGACCAGTCTGAGTAAGAGAGAGAGAGACCCCATCTCTACTAAAAATAGAAAACATTGCCAGGCATGGTGGCAAGCGCCTGTAATCCCAGCCTGTAATCCGGGAGGCTGAGGAAGGGGATCACTTGAGCCCAAGAGTTTGAGGTTGCTATAAGCTATGACTCCACGGCACTATGCCTAGGGCAACAGAGTAAGATTCTGTCTCAAAAAAAAAAAAAATTAGCTAATTGATTTTAAACATTTTTCCTTCACTAAAATAAACCTTTAAGGCTATAAATTTCTTGCTAAGTACTTTAGCTGAATTGTACAAGGATTTTTTGTTTGTTTGGGTTGTTTTTTTTTTTGACAGAGTCTCACTTTGTCAATCCCGGTAGAGAGCCATGGCATCATAGCTCCCAGCAACCTCAGAGTCTTGGGCTCAAGTGATTCTCTTGTCTTAATCTCCTGCGTACCTGGGACTACACGAGACTGCCATAATACCTGCCTACTTTTGGAGACAGGGTCTCGCTTTACCTCAGGCTGATCAAGAACTCATGAGCTTAGGCAATCCACCCACCTCAGCCTCGCAGACTACTGGGATTACAGGTGTGAGCCACAGTGCCTGGCCCTTCTACATGTTTTGATATATTTTCATTCTCATTCTGTTTGAAATGTTTTCTGTTTGAACTGTGCTGACATAAAGTGTTACCTTCTGTTAGCTCTGGGTTTTGTTTCTCTTGTTAATCAGACCCTGATGTTTCCACTGACTGAAATGTTTTCCTTCATATAGGCCTGGCAGGTATAACCTCAAGCACCACTTCCTCAAAGAAGCTTTCCCTGATGACCCAGACAAGGATAGTCTTCTCATGTCCTGGCTTGAATAGTGTTTCTCAAAACTTCACATCCACCCAGAACCTGTGAGTGTGACCTTATCTAGAAATAGGATCCTTGTAGATATAATCAAGTTAAGATAAGATCATGCTGGATTAGGGTGGGCCCTAAATCCAATATGACTGGCATCCTTATAAAAAGAGGGAAATTTGGACACAGGGCCACAGACACACAGAGATAACATCATCTGTTCATCAGCAGAGATTGAACTGATACATGTACAAGTTGAAGGCCAAGGATTGCTGGCAACCACTGGAAGCTAAAAAGAACAAAGTATCCTCCCCTAGAATCTTTAGAAAGAGCATGGCTCTGCTGATGACGTGACTTCAGGCTTCAACACTCCAGAACTAAAAGACAATAAATTCCCCTTGCTCTAAACTACTGAGCTTAGGATAATCTATTACAGCACATCTAAGAGTCAAATTCACCCTACAACATGTTTTCATATTTTCCTACCTTTTTCTTTCCTAGTTCTTATCAGAACATTATTACATATGTATATCAGGAAATTCAGATGGTATAACATATACTTGCCTGGCATTTAGTAGAAGCTTGGTAAGGATTTTGAAGGGCAGATAATTTTGAGGGAGCCTGGTTCCCAAATCACAGTATGTTGATTGTCAGTTACGCTTTTCAATGATGGCCTTGGGTCACAGGGTTTTTAAATATGAAAATTATCCAAACTGGTAATTTTTTACAGCAACAGATTTCCAAAAAAGAGCACCAATGTGCAAGTCGGAAATGTTGGTTTTTCCCTCCTCTGCCTCCAGAGGGTCTTGAGCAAGTCATTCAGCCTCTCTGGGTTCCAGGATCCCTAACAGTAAAAGGGGGTGACTGGGATCAGACAGTTTCTACTGTCCGTTTGGCTCCATCTTTCTGTGGCTTCATGAGTTCTTGCATGAACTGTAGCTGAATCCAGGGGTGAATCAGTACCAGTAGCAAAGGTGACCCAAGTTGGTGCTGAACCAGGAAGGGTTCTCCCTTAAACTGTAGACCTGCTGGGATTTTTTGTTTTGTTTTGTTTTTGGCCGGAGCTGGTCTTGAACTTTCCACTTCCAGCATATGGGGCCAGCGCCCTACTCATTTGAGCCACAGACGCTGCCCGACCTGCTAGTTTCTTGTCCACGCGAGTTTTTACCTGGCAAATGGAATGGAATAGATATTTCTAAGGCTCTTGCTTTTTAAAAAAGAACTAGTCAGTTCCTCTCTCAGGGCCATAAGGTATTCACCTACACAAAAGAAGGAAGAAAGCATGGAATTGGTGATTCCTGAGGTCTGTTCCAGCTCAGTAGTGTACAAAGCTCTGTGACTGCAAGAGTTTATTACCAAGCTAGAAAGAGGGGCCTTGACCTAAGTACAGTTCACGGCGTCAATCTCAGGAACTGTGCTCTTCACTATCATTTCTTCTCATAACCATTGCGTGTATTGGGGAGCAGCTAGTCTCTAACACATGCAATTGGGGGGCAAGAATGAAGTCTCACCTTTCTCGCGCGCGCGAATTATGTGGACCTCATCAGAGTCGCTGCAGAACTCTGAGCCTCCATTTTCTCTCTGTAAAAGAGGAACAGGCTCTAACAAAGTTGTAATAATGTCAAGAGTTGAGCAACAATGCCTCGTTCTTGTAAGGTTTTAGAGCAGGCGTCCTCAAACTACAGCCCGCCTAGGACATTTATCCGGCCCGCGGGTGTTTTTGCCGCCGCTGCCTGTCCTGCTTAGTAGCCGACTCGTCCCGGGGCCCGCAGTCCGGCCCTCCAACGGTCTGAGGGACAGTGAACTGGCCCCCTATTAAAAAGTTTGAGGACCCCTGTTTTAGTGTCGTTTTCCATAATCCTTAAGGCACATTATGGAAAGATAAACTGCGAGGTCATAAGCATATTATGGCTCGCTGACGGGCTAGGCCAAGTGGACACCACGCCACTGTACCGGGTACTTGTAGGTGACAGCGCTTTCGCATTTCGCGTTCCCTCAGCCTAGCGGTGCCCAGGTGGGCGGGCACCAGCCCTTTCGGCGCAGGCCCCGCCCCCGCCGTGCGCGCTCCCAGCGCCAGCGCGCGCGCTCCGGGAGGTGACGCGCCGCCGGCCAAGGCCGGGCTGAGGTGCGGCTCCCGGAAAGGAGCAGACCTTCCAGGAAGCTGAGGCAGCGCTGTCGCCTCGCCGCCTCCCCTCGGTGGCCGGGATGCCGCTCGCCTGCGGCGTCCCGCTCCCGGGAACCCCGGCCTGCGGAGCAGGTGAGGCTGCTCTCCGGTCGCGGACGAGGGGAGGGCAGGCGGCCGAAGCGGCCGGCGTCGCGGGACGGTTGGAGCGTGGAGGCCCCTGAGTGGGCGGGCGGGCCGCAGACTTGCTCCTCCTGCCCCGGCGCCCGGCGGCTCGCCCGGGGGCCCTCCTCGGGGCCCGGCCTCCGCCGCTGCCCGCTCGGCGCCGCAGACAGTTCCCCGCCGCCCGGGCGTCGCGGCGACATCCGGGCTCCACGCTGCTCACGCTGTGACCCGGGGCGGCAGGTGTCCTCTCGGGTCCCCAGCCCCAGAGACCTGGCCGTCCGGCCGGGGCGCCGCCTCGGGTGACCACGCTGGGGTTTTTTCCCTTCCTCGCGCGTCGTGTGGGAGGACCCGGGCCACGCAGGGGGACGCTGCACCTGGGACCCAGTTGGGCCTGTCTGCCGCTTCGAATTATGACACGTGTTAAGCATCATTTTTGCATTGCTCTGCTTTTCCTAAGTTTCATGGTAGATTTCTCCTTGGAAAAATGGAGTTAATTGGGCGATAAAGCGATGATGCCCAGCAGTGCTTCTCAACTTGAGTAATGCACGGACTCCTAAAGGGACAATTCTCCCATTCTTGAGAATATTTCCGAGAACCCACAAGGGTCCCCAGGCCCTATTTTGACGAACACCGGTGCAGGGTATTTTCAGAAAACATTTGTCACAAGGAGGAAAAAGAGATGCTTTATCATTCAGCAACTTTCATGCCAGAAGGTAAACTAGAGGTTACTGAGGAATTCTTAATTAGAGATTCAAATCCTAGTTTAATTTCACACTTCAGTTTTTATTGTCTTCTGCCTTGTATAATGAAAATACCCAATTGTCCAGCGTTGAGAGGCCTAAAACTTAGAATCATATTCTTTGTGTTATATTTGATGTTATCCTTGTATCAAATTTCTTATTCTGTCTGATGGTAGCAGAATTGTAAAGCGGAAGGCTGATTTGTGTTAAGTAGTTGAATTGTTTACTTCTGTATTTACCTTAAAGTTGATTTGTCTCTTACTTTAGTTGCATATTGAATTCTACCTTTTTCTGGCCCTAAAAGGAAATGTAGGATCTCAGCCTTTAAGTATATAGTCTGGGAAGGAGAGACAAAAATGAAAGTTAATCTTAGGATTTTTATTTTCTACATTATTTATTCAGCATGTTTATTTGAAAGAGACTGCCCGTGAATAAAGAGAAGATTCAAACATTAGGATGTACAACAGGTTTACATCTTGACAACGAAAAATACTAACCAGCTCCTTGGAAGAAGTGTACTATTGAAAGTAGAATACCGTAGATAGGAGGAAGTGAGATTAGTAAAGGCAAAGAGGCAAGTCTGAGGACAGGCTGTGTGAGAGAGAAGAAAGACCCAGGCTCTGGAGCAGATAGATGTTATCTGGGACTGATGAGAGAACAGGGTGGTGAGATAAGGTGGCATTAGTTGATGAATGTGAGATTTCAGGCGCCACACCAGTTGGTTTTGACCATCGGCTTCCAGAAGTCCTTTAGCTGTTCATATTTTGAAGGCAGTGTTTTACAAAGATACATTCGGAAAGAGGGATGTGCGCAGTGAAGGCAGGAAGTGTGTGAGCCATCAGGAGGTTTGTTTTGAGGTGGTAATGTCTGCTGTGGTCGTCTTAGATGTGAGGTATATTTGACGAAGAATTGACAGGACTTGATGAGAGAGAATATGTCAGCACATGAAGAAGTGAGAATCAAAGCTGAGGACCAGGCAATCCCTGGCCGTGGTGATTGGTGACACCTGCCTGAGATCTGGAGCATTTTGAAGGTGTTAGTTTGCATCAAAAGATTGTGACCCTACCAGGGCTAATTGAGTTTGTGGTAGCAGGGCTTCCATAAGGTTGGGATATAGGACTGTAACTTGAGGAAGGTAATTTTTTTTCTTTTTTCTTTTTTTTTTTGAGACAGAGTTTCACTTTGTCACCTCGGTAGAGTGCTGTGGTATCATAGCTCACAGCAACCTCAGACTCTTGGGCTCAAGTGATTCTCTTGCTTTAGTCTTCCAAGTAGCTGGGACTACAGAGGCCCTCCACAATGCCTGGGTATTTTTAGAGAAGGGGTCTTGCTCTGGCCTAGGCTGGTCTTGAACTTCTGAGCTCAGAAATCCACCCACCTCGGCCTCCCAGAGTGCTGGGATTATAGGCATGAGCCACTGCACCTGTAGATTTGGGAAACTACAGGTGATACAGGAAAAATAACCAGAAAAAAAACTGTTTAAAATTGGGGCCAGAATTTGCAAATGAACAGAGGTAGGAAAAAGTTAATTAGGATTTGATACTGAAAAATAAAATTTTTAAAACAAATATTAAAGAAAATGTATATCATAAGTGCAACTACCTGCATTTTCTTTAAACAAAGAAAGAATCAAGCTGTTTCAAAGTGTCTTTTCCCATGACTGAGTGAACATGCCACATACCAGCCTTCACATTGGCAGCTTCCTATCAGAAGGACAAGTTATTCCTTATAAAACTCTACCAGAGTGCTTGAGGGCATCTTTAATTTTTTCAGATCCTTTTATAATCCTTTGATATTGAAATCATTCTTTTTGAAGCACTCTTCGGGTGATTTTGCCTTTGCTTATTCCAGTGGTTCTCAACCTTCCTAATGCCACAGTGTATTTTCATTGTTAAAAAGGGGTTGCGACCCATAGGTTGAGAACCGCTGGCTTATTCTGAGGCCTAGCCCTCCTTAGTCTCAGTCATCTATGATTTTGTCTACATGTGATTGTCTAGGTCAGTAATGTCTGCTTTCCCCACATCCTGCATTTTTTTGCTAGAGGAACAAACTGTTTCCCTTTGTGATAGATTTGCTTTGTTTTCACTGTTGTCCTTAGGACTGTCAGTGAGAGACTGACAAGACATTGACCCCTGACCAGATGGGCTCCATTAAAGAATGTCTGCCAAGGAGAGCCCTGCTAGCTGAAATCAAGAGAGTTAACTCATCTCTTTGGTGATAGATCTAATACAGTTTTGGCCTTTTAAAAACATGGCAATTTTTGGTAGTACTGAATTTGCCTCCCAGAGTTTTGATGCCAAGAGTCTAGCTTCAAGGACCATTGGAATTTACATTTTAATATCATATTATGGTATTGTTGACTGCTGGGCAATAATTGGCCATGCTTTTGTCCTAAGTAAAAATAACTACAATGCTTCAGCACTTATAAGCTCTCCTGTTTTTCTCTCTGCCTTGAAATACAAGTTTTGTAACTTAAAATATTTGTTCTTTTGGTCAAAATCCTCACATATCTCAAAAAAAAGAAAAAAAGTCCTGAAACAAACGCCACATGAAGTAAAGTTTACTAACTGTGCTGTGATCATTCCCCCAGGGCACCTTTTCTTTTCTTTCTTTTTTGAAACAGAGTCTTACATACTATGTTGCCCTGGGTAGAGTGTGGTGGTGTCACAGCTCACAGCAACCTCAAACTCTTGAAATTAAGTGATTCTCTTGTCTGAGCCTCCCAAGTACCTGGGACTATAGGTGCCTGCCACAACGCCCGGCCATTTTTTGTGTCACACACCTGTAGGCCCAGCTACTCAGGAGGCTGAGGCAGGAGGATCACTTGAGCCCAGAAGTTTGAGATTACAGTGAACTATGGATGACACCACTGCACTCCAACCTGGGCAAAACTCTGTCTCAAAAAAAGAAAAAGAAGAAGAAGGTAGACATTCTCTTTGATTATGCTATCTTTGTGATTTTTCTCACTTCCTGAAATAGGAGGGCTCTAACTCCTTGAGGACCTCAGCATTGTTGCCGTGATTGTGTATGAGAAGGACCTTTCAGTATGGGGAGGTGAGTGATGGGCCCAATGATTGGCATGGTAAAACCTGAGATTTTGGTGTTACAAAAATAGATCTTGAGAGGAAAAAAAGCCAAAATCTAATTCCCAAGCAGAAAATGTTTGAAACTGTGCTACACTTCTGTTTAATACCTTTGTTTGCCCAGAGCCCAACACCCAGCAGAGATGCCTGTTACAGAAAGAAAGTGATAATGGGGGGTGGGGGGGAGAGGTGTCTTCAGAGATAGGTGTAGTTTGCAGTCAAGGCGTGCATGTTGGGATCAGCACAGTGGTTATAGTAAGCACTACATAATAACTCTTGAGGTGTGAGAAAGAGGAAGATAAATACCACGGAGTAGTTTAAGAACCTCTATGGAGACTAGAAACTACAAGTGGAACTTGCCATTGAGTAGGTAAGATACCTCCCCCTTCAATGAGATATTTTAGTCCATGAAATACTCTTCAAGGCAAAGAGCAGAAGTTAACTGTAAAACAATCAAGTTCATCTCAAAGGCAGTAAGGTTTTTCTTTGAAAACCTAGTAATAGTTCTAGAATGAGTCTCCCATTCCTGACATAGAGAAGGAAAATTGCTGTCATTTGCAAAAATATCTCCTAAGAATATTACTAAAAAACACAAGGTATACACTCAATGCATTTATTGACTTTGTTTTGGGGATGTTGTTAAAGATACTATTTTTTTCCCATTAGTCATTTTGGAGAAATTTGTGTTGGAATTCAATGTTAAGAAGATTTACTCATCCTGAGCTATTCTTATGTTTCTAATGTAATGGGCAGTGTTTTGGCCTCTTTTGTGCTCTGTTGAATTTCAAGCCTACCTTTCAACCTGCATTTCTTTCTTTTTTTTTTTTTTTTGAGACGCAGCCTCAAGCTATCCCCCTGGGTAGAGTGCCATGGCATCACGCTCATAGCAACCTCCAACTCCTGGACTCAAGCGAGTCTCCTGCCTCAGCCTCCCAAGTAGCTGGGACTACAGGCGCCCGCCACAGCTCCTGGTCATTTTTTGGTTGCAGCGATCATTGTTGTTTGGCGGGCCCCGGCTGGGGATTCGAACCCGCCACTTTAGGTGTATGTGGCTGGCGCCTTAGCCGCTTGAGCCACAGGCGCCGAGCCTCAACCTACATTTCTACATACCATTCTTAAACCTGACTTTATTATTAATTTATGTATTTTATTATCAGTTTTTTTTTTTTTGAGACAGTGTCTCAGTATGTCACCCTCGGTAGAGTGCTGTGGTGTCACAGTTTACAGCAACCTCCCCTCCAGCTCTTGGCCCTAGCCCATTCTCTTGCCTCAGCCTCCTGAGTAGCTGGAACTATAGGTGCCTACCACAGTGCCTGGCTATTTTTTGTTGTAGCTTGGCTGGAGCTGGGTTTGAACCTGCCACCCGTGGTATATGGGGCCAGCGCCCTACTCACTGAGCCACGGGCGCTGCCCAGTGCCCGGCTATTTTTGGTTGCAGTTGTCATTGTTGCCCAGTTGGCCCAGGCCTGGTTTAAATGCACCAGCCTCAGTGTATGTGGCTGGTGCTGTAACCACTGTGCTGTCAGTGCCAAGTCCAGTTTATATATTTATCTTATTGAACTTATTCTTATAAGTTGTCTCTAATTTTTAGAACAAAGCGGGGTAAAATAAAAATACACATAATAGTCTCAAGAAAACTAGAAAACACAGAAGTTTCATAGCCATTAGGGCCTAATTCTCATATGTAGGGTAATATGAAAGGACCTAGTGTACAGATAATAGGGAAGGAAAAGGGGGTAGCCCAAGGTAAGCATCTTACTGTAGGATCGGTTTAGGTGAGGGGATGCCTCTTTGGAACAGATTGCTTTAAAATCTGTTTTTTGGAATTTCAGGTTTGGCATCTCCTGTCTTTTTCCTGCTTCTTGGCATTTTAGCATTTCTCCAGTGGGGTGTCCTCGAATTCTGAATACCAATTTACGGCAAATTATTGTCATTAGCGTCCTGGCTGCTGCTGTTTCACTTTTATGCTTTTCTGTTGTCATAATTCGAAATAAGTATGGGCGTCTATCCAGAGACAAGAAATTTCAAAGGTAAGAAATACAATTATTTGGCCAGGCACAGTGGGTCACGCCTATAATCCTAGCACTCTGGGAGGCTGAGGCGGGCGGATTGCTTGAGCTCAGGAGTTTGAGACCAGCCTGAGCAAAAAGAGAGTCCCTGTCTCTATTAAAAATAGAAAAACTGAGGTAAGAGGATCACTTAACCCAAGTTGGAGGTTGCTGTGAGCTATGACGCCATGGTACTCTACCCAGGGGGACAGCTTGAGACTCTGTCTCAAAAAACAAACAAACAAACATTTGTCTCTTGCTTTACCTGGTTCAGGCTGCTATAACAAAATACCATAGACTGCATGGCTTATAAACAATAGAAATTTATTGGACAGTATAGTGCTGGCTAGATTTTGTGTCTGGTGAGGGATTGTTTCCTGTTTGTAGATGGCCTCTTCTCACTGTGTCCTCACATGATAGAAAGGAGCAGGGAAGCTCTCTGAAGTCTCTGGCCTCATGATCTAATCACCTCCCAGGGACCTCACATCCTAATAGCATCACATTGGTGATTAGATCTTAAATAATGAATTTTGAGGAGACACAAACTTAGACCATCCCACCTTCATTTCCTGGCTTTGGGACATTTGGGGCTAAGTTGGATCTTAAGGAGCATGTGACTTGAGGAACTGGATTCTGTAATGAATGCAGTGTGGCATGGAAAATTTAACTCTTTAAGTTTTCCAAATTCATATCATAGGAGGCTCTGGAATGATTATTTACCTGTCAGCTTCTCCTATAATGTATCTTAAACTTTATTTATTTATTTATTTGAGACAGAGTCTTACATTGTCTCTTGAGCTCAAAGTAATTTTCTTGCCTCAACGTCCCTGGTAGCTGGTACTACAGGTGCCTGCCACGGTGCCTGGCTATTTTTTAAAGATGGGGTCTTGCTCTTGCTCAGGCTGGTCTCAAACTCCTGAGCTCAAGCAGTCTACCTGCCTTGGCCTCCCAGAGTGATAAGATTACAGGCGTGAGCCACTGTGTCCTATCTTTTTAAACTGATTTTTGAGGTAATGTTGATAGTTTGGAAATAGAGGTTTGCTTTTTGGCACTTGTCTGAACTACAAGTGAATAATGAGTGTGTATCTGGTTTAGATGATCTTTAACACCATCATTTGTTTTGTGTTCTTTTGACTCTGTTCATTAGACAGTTATAAAAATGTTAACCATACAGCTTAGAAATCACTGACTTATTGCTTGTTTATTGAATTTTCTCTGTTAGGTTTAGGATGATGTTCTCTAAATAAAAGCATGTATGTTTTTCCACACAAGGTACTTGGCGCGAGTTACTGACATTGAAGCTACAGACACCAATAACCCCAATGTGAACTATGGGATCGTGGTGGACTGTGGGAGCAGTGGATCTCGAATATTTGTCTACTGCTGGCCAAGGCATAACGGCAATCCACATGATCTGTTGGATATCCGGCAAATGAGGGATAAAAATCGAAAGCCAGTGGTCATGAAAATAAAACCTGGTATGGAAATGGGAACATCTGCCTGGTGACCATACTCTGTCCTGCCACACTCTGTGGTGTCTTACTTGCCCTTCCCCCACTCATCCCTGTTATTGCCCCCCTTTAAGCTCAGGCCAGGACCTGCTGGGTCTCCTAAGTTCACTTTCTTCCCTTTTCTGTTTGGCATTAGGGTGATTAACACCTTGATGTTAATCCAAAAACCATGTCTTTCTGCCTCTTGTCTCACCTAGGACAGCATAGGGTACAGCTTGAATAGATTCTGGCTAGTTTGGAGCTTGGTGGCCATTGAAATAGCATTGTATATGGAGTCAAACCTCTGTAGATTAGTCCAATTTCTGCAGATTCCTTTGATAAATCACTTAATCTTTCTAGGTTCACAATTTCCTAATATTGGGGCATAAGGAATTTTTGGGCTTTGAAAGTTCCTTTCATTTTTAATGTAGACAGCTGGAAATCATTCATTCATTTATGTACCCGTTCAACAGATATTTGCTGAGCACCCACTATTTGCTAAGCACTATATTAGGTGGTAGGAATATAAATTTGAACAAGACTTTATTTTGTGCCTTTGAGAAACTTTCAGTTGCAATGAGACAGGCAAATTAAGGGGTAGTTTTGATAAGGTGTAATGGGTGTACAGCCAGCAGTGGGGGTAACCACAGAAGGTAACAAGAGCTATCTTCAGGGTTCTGTTAGGGGAGACCCACAGAAGAAGGAGCCAGGTCGAAGTGTAGGAGTTAGCCAGGTGGAAAGGGGTAGGGAGTAGGTACAGAGGTACAGAGAAGGCTCTTCCTAGTGGAGGTGCACTAAGGCCACAATGTGATGCATTGTAGAAATGTTAATTCAGTGTAGCTGAAGGTGAATGGAAGGAACACAGGAAGAGAAGGAGGGGTGAGTATGGAGAGCACTGGTCTGCTGTTCTAGAGTGGAGCTTTGTCTGGAGGGCTCTGAGGAGCCACAAAGGGATCTGAAGCCAGGCAGAGGAATCCCCTAGGTAGGGAATGGTCTAGACCAGAGGTAGGATGTATTGCAGCAGAATGGAAGAAGCTGGTGGTGTCCCAAGAAATGAGAAATGAAGTAATGAGATAGGAACCAAGAAGAGGCAATTTGTGAAACCAGGGTGCACAGTGGGGAAAAGGATTTTATCCAGGATACTGGCTTAGCCTGCTGGCTGCCAGTGCTAATGGTCACTGAGGGAGGTAACAAGCATTAGGGGAAGGCTGGTAGTGACAGTGGAATTGAGATTCAGACATGCTGCATTTGGAGTGGCTGAGGACAGCAAGAGCAATACCTGGCAACAGTTACCACACTGAGCTGGAGTTTGGGATGAGCTGGGGTGGCTGCTGATACTATGTAGAGCTCCATGATGTGTCCATGGTGATGGCAGCTATTGGAGTGTGTGAACTGGCCAGGGGAAGAGGGAGCACATTTCTCAAGGGCAGGGATGAGTCCTTGTCTGGTAGCACCGACACATAGCAGATGGCCAGTCAGGTCTGTGTGCTTTGATTTTGATGATCAGGAAGAGGACACAGTACTGAATATTTAGTGCCACCACCATGTAAGGAAGAAGTAGTTGCTAGAGGAATAGACGAGACTATGAGAGCATAGCATATAGTTTGAATTTCTCTATTAAGCTAAAATACCCCCTTGTTAACTGAGGTGTCCTCTTTCTCTAGGCATTTCAGAATTTGCTACCTCTCCAGAGAAAGTCAGTGACTACATTTCTCCACTTTTGAACTTTGCTGCAGAACACGTGCCACGGGCAAAACACAAAGAGACACCTCTCTACATTCTCTGCACAGCCGGAATGAGAATCCTTCCTGAAAGGTGATCCTTCATGTGAGGGTGGGGGCAGGCCTGTAGAAGAGTGTTCTCTGCCCTCCCTTATCAATATTCAAAAGTCTTCCATTCTGAAATAATATTAGAACTATTCCCATTGTCTGAACCCACCAAATATCTTTAATTCACTTGTTGATGACTAAATCGTAAGCTATGAAGTCGTTATTTTTTTTAAATTATTTACTTAAGGAATCTTTGCACTGATAGTTTAGCATCTAGGAATCACATAATTCATATCACTTGCTCATTTTGAAAAATCTTTCCTAAAATCTTTTCAACAATTGCTTTGGTTTTAAAATAATTTTTACATGTAAGATGTGCTAGAGCCATGGGGGTGGGGGTGGGATTTGATGGTTTTTTCCTTTTCAAATAGGAATTCAGGATTTATGATGTAAATGTTTGCATTGCCTTACAGCCAACAGAAGGCCATTCTGGAAGATCTTCTGACCGATATCCCTGTGCACTTTGACTTTCTGTTTTCTGACTCTCATGCAGAAGTAATTTCAGGGAAACAGGAAGGTTAGTATATTGGTCTTCAATAATTTGAAAGCTATTCCTTTAAATCCTCCTCATTTTCCCCAGTGTACATTTTATTAAATTACTTCTGATGTCTTCAAATTTGGAAAATCATTTGACATATTATAATTTATTTATTTATTCAAGTGTTTTTTTGAGACAGAGTCTCACTATGTCACCCTTGGTAGAGTACCATGGTGTTGTAGCTCACAGCAACCTCAAACTCTTGGGCTTAAGTGATACTTTTGCCTCAGCCTTCCAAGTAGCTGGGACTACAGGCGCCCACCACAACACCTGGTTACTTTTTGGTTGTAGTTGTCATTATTGTTTAGCAGGCCCGGGCTGGATTCGAACCTGCCAGTTCCAGTGTATATGACTGGTGGCCTAGCCACTGAGCTATGGGTACTGTCTGAAATATTATAATTTTTAAAAGACTAGATTATTTTCTTACATAACTGGTCTTTATTACTCAAACTGGTCTTTATTTTAAAATATCTGTTTGTCTTCACCACATTTAGGAAACATATTTGGAATTCATTTTGATAGAAAAGATTTGTGCTCTTTGCCTAAGTCATATGACTTCCAGGGATCATAAGAATTGTTGAGCTGTTGGAACCTCCTGATTTACTTGATAGGAAGGGGAAATTCTTCTTGACTTGGCACACTTAAGTGCTGTTTTCAAAGAAATTATTCTAGTTGAGAATAAAATGACAAGTCAGTGAAATAATTTGGGGAATAGCTTGTTGGAAATAGTGACCGAAAGTATTTATTTCAAAGTCATTTATCATTTCAGTTTATTCTTCATATGTGACAGGCACTGTAGAACACAGAATTGGGTGAAATTCACGTCTTGCCATTGAGCTGCTTACAGACAAGTGGGATACATAGAGATAGTTTTAGGTGCCAGAAGGAAGATAAGGAAAAAATATCTCCAAAGGAGGAAGGCATTTTTTTTTCCTAGCTAGGGCCATCAGAAAGAACATAATATTTGAACTGTCCTCAAGGGGTAGTTCTAAATAGAATGTGCCAGAGCACAGTAAGCATAGCGTGCTGAGGGAGGGATAGGAAGCACATTCCAGCCAGAAAGGAGGATTTGAGTAAATACAGGTGAGAAAGAATGCACTATAGACAGAAGAATAAAAAAGTTTTAGTTTGACTGGATTATGGGCGTTTGAAAGGTATAGTAATGTTCTAAGCTGAGTGGGTCTTGAATTGTCCAGGGGATTGGACTGTGTACTGTGAGTAAGTGCAGTAGCAGAGGACAGAGTGACTTGCAGTGGAGGGGTAGGGGCAGGAATATGGAATAGATGGGCCATCTCTCCACTCTTATAGAGATGTAAATCCAGGTGGCAATGAAAATGGGTGGGAAATGTTTAGAAAATAGAATCAGTCTTAGCAACTGAGAGAATGAGAGGAATAAGGGAAAAAGAAGGGTAGAAAGTACCTTGAATTTTTAAAGCCTGGCAATCCATAGGTTCACTTTATAGAAAGTAACTCTAGTATTTTGAAATAACCCATAAATTTCAAAGGAAAACTGTCACTTGTGGAACCATATTCTCAACCTATGTAAATGCTATAAAACTTTTTTTTTTTTGTAGAGACAGAGTCCCATCTCACTTTATCGCCCTCAGTAGAGTGCTATGGTGTCACATAGCTCACAGCAACCTCCAACTCCTGGGCTTAGGTAATTCTCCTGCCTCAGCCTCCTGAGTAGCTGGGACTACAGGCGCCCACCACAAGGCCGGGCTATTTTTTTGTTGCAGTTTGGCCTGGGCTGGGTTTGAACCCGCCACGCTCAGTATTTGGGCCGGCACACTACCCACTGAGCCACAGGCGCCACCCTATAAAACTGTTTTGTTTTGTTTTGTTCTTTTTTTAAACTGTTTTAAATTGACAGTTCTTGGTAAACCACTAAGAAGACATGTAAAAGAAATGTGTTGAGATGTTTTCATAGAGGAGTAAAATTAATGAGATGTTTACACAGAGTGCATTGATAAAAGTTACACGAAATATCTTAAAATGTTATTATCCTTTTTTTTTCCACCCTGTGAAATTCGTATAGGTGTGTATGCTTGGATTGGCATTAATTTTGTACTTGGACGATTCGAGCATATTGAGGATGGTAAGTGTCATGTTTCTAACTAGTGTTAAGTAACTGGAATTTAGGGCTTTTCTGTATAACCCTAAGGCTGAAAAGGGGGCTAAGTTTTGTGACTCTATTAAGCATGTGGGAGTAGAATGGGAGCAGCTGCAGTTTAACACAGTTGAATTTGATTTGGGAGGAGTAGTCTGGGTTTGCCTAAATATGCTTGAAATGTCCCGTGAAAACAAGGTGACAGATCTCAATTCTCTGGATTTGTTCTGTTTGATGAACGTTTTTTGTTCTTTACAGATGACGAGGCAGTTGTGGAAGTTAACGTTCCTGGTAGTGAAAGTAGTGAAGCCATTGTGCGTAAAAGAACAGCAGGCATTCTTGACATGGGAGGCGTGTCAACTCAGATAGCCTACGAAGTCCCCAAAACTGTAAGCTTTGCCTCCTCACAGCAGGTCATTATCTGTACAGATTTCCTTCTGTTTGGTTTGGTTTTCATTTAACATGTCTCCATCCGTTTTTGTTTTGGTTTCTGCGTCTGAACACACCTTTACTGTGCTTGCTGAGCCTCCACCTTCTCAGCCCAGGAGAAAGACAGAAGGAAGAAGGCAGACCTCAGCTAAGCCCTTGTGTTTGTTCATTGAACTCAGCTGGTTTGTTTGCTGTACTTAAAGTTTTTCTTTGGTGTATTTGCAGTAGCATGCTTGCGTTTTTGTTTATATTTTCTCTCAATCACTTCTCAACAGGTTCTATAAAATGTCACATATCAGGGTTATGAAGTTATAATTGGGAACAGTCCTTTTTTTGGATTGTTCAGAAAGCTCAGACAGCTTTTGAACTTCACTAGGAAGTATTGAGGTTTTGTATCTACTCCTTCCACGTTTCTGAACTTGTAGTTCACCCAATCTTTTTTTCATCCCTTCATTGTGCTCAGCCGCTGTCTGGAATTTTGTATAGGCTGGGTGGCCCTGTCTAGGGAACCACAGCACAGTTTCCAGATGTATTCCTGAACTGCTATTTGTCTTTATTACTTTCTGTTTAGCTGTAAATTGACAAAAAGGCTTCCTGCATTTTCCCTTAGGTAGGGGAAGCAGGGTAATTGAATCCTGGAGCTGGGCAAGGCTAGGCTGCATCATCATCCTATTCTCACTAGTTTTGGGACTTTATGCAAGTCACGTAACTTCTGTGGGCTAGTTTCTTCATCTGTAAATGTGAATGAGTAAGCCTGCAACATGGGGTTATTAGAAGGTATACGTGAGGTTATACATATATAACATCTAATACACTGGTTGGCACTTTGTATATGCTCAGTGAATGTTACTGATGTTTTCATTGAGCTTCTTGGGAAAATGCTCATAAATTCAAGTATTACAATTTGTGTTTCCTATTTCCCATTCGAGACATACCTCTAGAAACTATTATACTCTTAGTAAGACATGTGGCAGTGCCTGTGGCTCAGTAGGGTGGCAGGTTTGAACCCGGCCCTGGCCAAACTGCAACAAAAAAATAGCCGGGCACTGTGGTGGGCACGTGTAGTCCCAGCTACTTGGGAGGCTGAGGCAAGAGAATCGCCTAAGTACAAGAGCTGGAGATTGCTGTGAGCTATGACGCCATGGCACTCTACCGAGGGTGACAAAGTAAAACTCTGTCTCTAGAAAAAAAAAAAATATTGTGTTTTCTCCCTTCACTATAAAGTAAAAAATATATATTTAAAAGACATTTTGGAAAAATACCAAACTAACAAAATTAAAAATTTCTTATAGACTCATCATCCATAAAAACCATTGCTAGTATTTTGGTGATTTTCTTTTCATTCTAAATGTAGTTGTTATACTCTTACTGTTCATATGATTTTATGTCCTTTATTTAACAGTGCATGAGTATGTTCCTCAGTGATTATTATAATTAACCTTCTTTTGGTATTGTATATTTACATGACATCTAGTTTTTTATGCCATAGAATTATAAGGGACATCTTTGGCTATGGAGACTTTTGTGGTTAAATTTATTTCCACAGCGTAAGACTCCACAAATAGATTTACTAGGTCAGATGTTATGAACTATATTGCTGACTTCCTTTTCAAAAATCATAACAGTATTACAAACATGCAAGACATCTGAAATTTTCTAAGTCAGAATTGTCATACTGAGTTACAAAAGATGTTTCGAAGGATCCCTGAGAAATAGAGAAGCAGAAATTTTTTCCTGTTAGATGAGACTCTTTAAAAATCCTTTTTAGCAGGAGGTTTTAAATTGCTTAAAATATTCAAGTTTGTCATCCATATGTCTGCAGGAGGAAGTAGCTAAGAACTTACTAGCTGAATTTAACTTGGGATGTGATGTTCACCAAACTGAGCATGTGTACCGAGTCTATGTGGCCACATTTCTTGGATTTGGTGGCAATGCAGCTCGACAGAGATACGAAGACAGAATATTTGCCAACGCAATTCAAAATAACAGGTAAAGCACCTTCTGCTACTCAAAAGTCATTTGCAAACCTAGATCTCTCCTCATAAAAACAAAATCCAGGCACAGCAGGGAGAACTCAACCAGCAAACACATGTTGGCACTGTCAGCTTCCTATTCCTCCACTGGCTGAGCAGGGAGACAGAATGGGAACACTCCAGGGTCCTGCCTCCAGTGCTCTATCCCACCACGCTTCAAAGAATGCTCACTGTCTTTCTCTTAGACATAGACCTCACCTGATGAATTAGAAATTTAGCCATCAGTCTGTAGAATAGTTTTGAGCCCTGGGTAATGTTGTTCATGGTTGCAGAGTCCTTGGGAAACTCAGCACATGGGGCATCGCTGATGTCCTGGAGGCATGGAACTAGTGTTTGTGTTTGTCATTGCTTAAAGATTGAGATGTGTCGGCTCGGCGCCTGTGGCTTAACTGGCTAAGGTGCCAGCCACATACACCTAAGGTGGCAGAATCGGATCCCCAGCCCGGCCCGCCAAACAACAATGATGGCTGCAACCAAAAAATGGCCGGCGCTGTGGCGGGCGCCTGTAGTCCCAGCTACTTGGGAGGC